CGGGGGGGGGGGGGGTAATGTGGGCATTTTAACTACATAAACCTTTAGAATTATGAAACCAATAGCCAAAAGGAAACTTTTCTTAAAATTACGTCAGTTCTCATAAAATTAATAATCTACAAAGTTAAATAAAACTTGGTGGTCAGCCAATTCTTTCTGGTGATTTTATCTGTTGTGTGGTCAATTAGTCCGTGACTCACTGTTCTTGACGTTTTTCACCATTGTGTTTCTTTTTTTTTCTTGTCCTCGTCTTAACCTTAAACTTATTACTACCAGCAAGCATAAATTAGTTAAACAAACTTTATATATATTTTTAACTTTTAAATACTATAAGAAATTCTAACAATTATATTTAAAACATAAATCTAACAATTAAACTGATAATCAACTAAAAATTTAATGATTCTCATATTTCTATAGGCATGAACCTATTGTTTATTAGGAAAAGGAATAAAGGATATTTGAACTGTAAGATTTTGGGGAGAATCCCAATCTCACATAGAACAGGAAGGCTCGCCTCGAAGAGACCACAAGACCAGGAGGAATGCAAACAGCAAGAGGTTTATTAATTCCAATGCATTGGGACCTCACCGGCAAGCTGGGGTGAGACCCCGTCAGGCTTTTCAGCTGTCTTTTTATACATTTTTTTAGGGCAGCTTTCCTGGCAGCCAGGAGACAAAGCAATAAACAGTATTCATTGGTTAACTTAAGTGACCTTAAAGCCCATTGGATGGCGCCCCACCTGTCTGTAGGTGATTTCCCCTTTGATTTCCTAACTAATAAACATTGGGCCATCTGCAGGTTAGCTTTGCCTAAAGACTACTGAATACTTCTGCATTTTACAGTTCAGCGGTCACAGGCTTCTGCTAGCATTAGCAAGAAAACCACAGACTGTCAGCTCTGAGCTTTTCCTGTGACACACTGTCAGCTCTGAGCTTTTCCTGTGCAGAGGAGAGGTTGGCCAGCTCTCAGTGACCCCTCCTCATGCAACCACATACTCAGCTCTACTTACCCAGGTGTGAGATGACCCCTCACCCAGCGGCCCTGTGAAAACATGTTTTTGTGGAAAGTTTCATGCTCTGCTGTAACCTATTTACTTTAGCTCCTGCAGCTCAGCTGTGCTCATGGGTGCAGAACATCCTGTGCATCTAGCAGGTCCTGGGGAAGGGGGGAGTAGAGTGTATCCCTAGGCATAACAGCTTTTAAGATGGCTTCACTGTAGCTAAGTTAGAGCAAGCTAGGTTTACAAAAGCAGATAGCACAGGTTAGTATTCCTCAAAACAGCTTTATCATGCATGTACTTAATATAGCAGCTGTGTGGCCCAATGTAAAGTGTCAAAGTGCACAGCACCATCCCTCACAAAACCAGGTGCATTCTAAATTCCATCTATAATCTTTATTTTTAGGAGGGAAAGTCGTGCATCATATGTTTTTGTCCCAATATCTTACTAAGACGTTTTTATTTAACTTAGGACAACTATGAGTAACAGGGTTTCTATGCATTCTTTCTCATAAACTTAATTCTTTTTATAGTATCTTTTTCCATTAATTCCAACCATTCTCTTGCCATTAATATAATCCCCTGTAAATGACGTTTGCCAATTTAAGTCATATTTAGGACGTCCCCTAGGAGGGTGTCAAATTTTTCCTTTTCCCATTTTATAATCCATATAATCATTTACCCAGATGGTGGGAAGAGGATGGGGATTTCTATTGTTTATTAATTTCTTCGGTAAAAACAATTGCTCATGGCTATTCATAAGGTGTTTTTAAAACATCCATTGGTGTCATCAATTGACTCAAAAGGGACAATTTGGAATTGTTCAATCTTCCCGGATCTTTTGTGGGACAATCTAATTTTATGACAACAACTATTTGTGTGTCATTTTT